CTTTACGCCTGAATCGTTTGACGGGTATTTATGTCATAGGAGATGAGGACTGTGCAAGTGTGTGATAATGGGCTGATGCATGATGCATTCGTAGTCTTGACTGAACTCTTTTGGGTTGGGTTCAATCAATGTCAGAAGTGGTTGAGAATCTTCATAAAGTTGAAGAGAGTGCATAATACGACAAATGGCTAAGCAAAGTAATGGTGGTACAAAATATAACCGAAAATTTCCATGTCAATGAAAGATCAAAGTGATAAAGTGCATGATACAACAAATGACACAAGAGGTCAGGACCGATAAAGTGAGAAAGGGAGAAGTCGAGTGAGATAAAAGTTGATAATTGTTGAATGAAAGTCAAGATCATACGCGTATCATTTAATAAGTGTCGGTGAGGAGGGTGGTTGTATGTGTGTTCGAAGTACATTTTACAGTCGTATTGATGTTTCTTTGATGAAGATTAAACAGCACCTAAAAGTTCTAATTGATATATCGTCACTCTACCATGAGAATCACTACTGCTTTCAAACTCCAATTTCAATTCGGTTATTCGTGCCGGTGTAGGTGGTGTAGGATTGAGAGTGGTAGGTTCTAATGCTGTTCGAGGTTCGGTTGTTGAAGGAAAAGGGTTTGATTGGGATGGGGGAAAGGGGATCCTGTGAGTGAGAAAAAGGTCGTTTGGGTTTCTGGTTTCTTTCATGTTCATTCACATTACCACCTCTCATATTTAGATGTTATCATGGTATGATTCTTCCCTGATTGAAATATGTGGACGGATGAAGTACGGGGGAGATGAAACGAGGTAGGAGGGGTAAAATGGGGAATTCAACTCACGGGAAGATTTGACGTTTGTTTTTATCCTCTGGATAAATCTTTCCACCGAATGCTAAACCTAAATTAACGTCACTTTCACCGGCTTGAAAAGCTATATAAATTGATATGGTAGTAGCTACGAACCCGCCTACGTCGATCAGTCATTTCTCTAATCAATGGCGTGAGTCTTCATTCGTCCAGAAAATGAGCGTGTTCGAATGTCTGAGGACTGACTGTGTACTTTGACATATATGGGATAGCCATTATACAAGAAAAAATAAATCATCGTCTCAAGGAATATAAATTATCTTTTACTCTTGTGGAGAAGCAAGAAAGAGTTTCAGAAATATTGCAAATGATTGATACAGATATTGATCACTCACCTTGAAAAGTCAACGCTAGATGAGTGACGTTGTTTAACGGATTTGGTAAAATGAGATGAACGAAAGAAGGAAGTGATGTTGATGTCCAACATTCGTCCGAAGATGTTAACAATGCTTTTTTAGAGGTTTGAGGGGCTGTGGATGAGACTCTGTTTGTCAGTTCATTCCGATAGATACCCTGGCCCTTCCACTTGAATGACTTCTGTTGGATCCGATTCCAATGAGATGGTCAGATGGTCAGGAGGTGATAGGGGGTTAAAGTGAAGATGAACAACGTACGTTACTTTGGTACCGGGTTCTAAGAGGTTGACGAGGGACATGATGGTTTGAGAGGATTATGCGATGGAAGATTCTGATGGGGAATGATTTGTTATTGGGATATAGAGTATGTACAGAGAGAAGAGATACGAAATATGAATAGTGTGTTACGCAGACAGTTGACTTTTGGCCCGTCACAAGGTCACACCGTAGTCACATTGAATTTTCCCACGGTCGACTTTTACCCGTTGAACGTACAGTCCAAATTTCGAAAACCAAAACCTCGACGACTCACACCCGTCTTTACCACTTTCACCTAATCACCGCACTGCGATCTACGAACCGAGCCGTTCTGATCTCTGGACGGAGCGGGAAGGGGAGTCACAGAGGACTCAAGATCATTGGTAAAGCCCGACCGACGCGATGTCCATGTCCAAAAAATCAATCAATTCTCTTACCCGAATTATTACCTCACCACGAACCCTTCTCTCCCTCCCCTCATCCTCTCGTACTTCCCTCCCTCGTCATTCAGTCAGACATTCCTCTTCCACCAACCAGATAAACCCTCTTGTCCTCGAAGGAGTCCCAAATTTTCTTCCAAAAGCGAATTTTGACACGATAACGGAATGGCAAAGAGGTCTATGGACCAGACTACAAGCAGAAGTTCGAAGTTGGTCTTGTACTCTTTTCACCTTTCCCTCTTGGCCCTTTCCACAATAATTGTGGTTCCCCCGTCTCTGTCTTTTGTTTTTCATATCAAGAATGTTAAGAGCTGACGTATAGATAATCCCGCACTTTTACCCGTCAAACAAAAATGGGATAAATCACCCACCGGAACACCCGACATCCCTTACCTTCTCACACATACCGCAAGAGATCCATCCCTCACTTTGGCATACAATTACGGTGCTTTATTACTGAACAATTCTTATTTTCTCGAAGGAATCGTGAGATCATCATTATTGTAAATGACGCTTGCGAGTGCTGACGCATCAGAATCCTGGAGAACCAATGACTATACCGCAAACATATCATCCATTGGAAGAAAAGGTAGTTGGGTTCGCAGAGGGTATTGTAGGTGGTGGATGGCTATGGGTAAGTTTTACCTTATCTCTACTCAATGCTCCTCTCTAGATCCTATTGAAACGTGCCGGGGATGCTCCTTCGTTGTTTGAGACTCTCAGGACTCGTATCTCCAATCTGGAGGTGATATATGTAGAGGAAAGTTCTTGCGCTGACATTCAGCTCGTTCAAACCAAAGGCAACATCCTCTCTTTCGATATAATACCAACTTTCTCATCAGGTACTTTACTAGTCACTAATCGTCGACAACAAGGACGACCCCCTTTATCAGTTTACGCTCCAACAGGTAGTCTCCTCGATCCCACTGATACATCAGAGGAAATAAGAGAGTCGAAAGAATTTGAAGAAACGGATGATCCACTTGCCGAACCACTTCGTCCTTCCACAGGTGTGATGTCGAGGTATGGTGTTTCGAATGACTTGTCCGTAAGTCCGTTGGCGGTGTTGAACATGTTTGAACATGCTTATCTTGGGGACAAGTATGGAGTTTGGGACAGAGGAAGGTATGCGAGGGATTGGTGGAGAAGTATTGATTGGGAGAAAGTGGATAAGAGAAGGGGAATTGCATAGTAGTGTGGAGAAGGATGAATACATATGCATCATTCAGCATCAGACCTATGTTTGATTTGATTATCAACTCTTGACTTCTCCTTGCTGATCTATTAGTGTTTTCTTCCCCCTTGTTATTCCGTGACTATGAATAGAGCAGAGTACTCTACTCTACCCTAACCTCGTAAGTTCAGTAAAATATAGGTGGGATGAGCGGGATCAAATTTCCCTCCCACCAACTCTGCTCACTCTTCGTTTCGCCCAAAGTCAGTCTCTTCCCCACTGTACCACTGTACTCCTTCTCTCAACTGATACAAGAAGGCCCAGCAATAGGCCAAAACTTGTCAACATGACATCCCGACTGAAACACAAGCTCGAATTAGAAAATGTAAACCTCAACAGCGCATACCTTAACGAGTCGTTCGTCCAGGTAAGTCCCCCCCTTTAACATCCTCATTCAAACTCAAAGTCGAGGAGCTAAGAAATAGATCGGAACTCCACTCCCCGCTCTGGCAGAAACCAAAAAAGATAAACAAGAATACTTACCTGTATGGCAACAAGAAGTCAGTTTTATTTTTCCATTCCGCTTTCCCTACAAAAGAAGAATACTGTGTACTGATATCAAGGCTCGAGATGAAAAAGGTCGTCGTCGTTTTCATGGTGCATGGACAGGTGGTTTCACAGCTGGATATGGTAATACCGTCGGGTCGAAAGAAGGTTGGAAACCTAGTACTTTCAAATCTTCTCGATCTAATAGAGCTACTAAAGTACAAAGACCGGAAGACTTTATGGATGAGGAGGATTTAAAGGAGATGAATGAAGATAGGAGATTGGAGAATACGGATGTTTTCAAGGATGATGGATTTCGTGGAACTAAGGAGGAGGTGGAAGGGAAAAGGTGAGTCATTGGTCTTTTCCCTCTTGATTTTCGACCTCTTCATGATGTTGATCCTGTTCTTTCCCTCATAAACCTCCTCAAGCCAATTCACCAATTCACCATCTCAGCCTGGTCGGCCTTGACCACTACGAACAATAACTCTTTATCATGGGACTGGTCAGGTCGCTCCTCGCAGACATCTATCCCATGCATTAAACGCTGTTTGACATATCATCCATTTCGCAATTAAAGATTGTCATTACTTGGTTTGAAAGTCCTGTGCAAGAAGGTACATGACTGACGACATAGCATACCATCCGTTCTTGAAAGTATGATCGCCCCCGCTCGAACGAGCATCGGTCAAACTCTTCTCCAGAAACTAGGATGGAGACCTGGACAAGGTATAGGACCTCGAGTATCTCGACGTAAACTCAAACTCCAAGAGGCTAGACTAGGCGGTAAGGGGGTTGTTGATGAAGGGGATGAAGAGATGGATGAAACGGAAAATTCCAAACACACTTACGCCCCTAGAGATGTGAGGTTGGTGACGTATGAATCGAAAGATGATCGGGCTGGTTTAGGTTTTGAGAAGGGAAGAGGGATGGGGAGGTTGACTGGAAAGATTGGACCGGGTGAGTCAACCTTTTCGGCTTCTCCATTTTCGGGTGAATGAATGATTCGTTCCATCTACTGTGTTCTAACCGTTACTTTCCCCGTGGGCAAGTCTCACTCTACCCTGGTCGGCTTGCTAATGTGAAGCTTTCACAACGAGTGATCCAGACGAAGAAGATGACCCTTACGCTGAAGCGGGCCCATCGACCAGACCTCATCTAGTTTTCGAACCGGATGAAGAGGACGAAGTGATCGTCATGGGTGGACCTGTCCTCAAGTCTTCCGGTCCCCTATCTGAGAAACCTCACGGAAATGATAAAAACCATTGGCATGATGGTAAACCTGTTTTACCCAATTTCGAATTAGACCCACTCAGTGTTCCCACTGACAAATGGTGAGTTCTCTCTTCATTTTCAAATCGTTAATCGCTGATGATTAGGTTCGAATTCCCAGAGATACCTCCTGATTGGCGTCCTAGACCAGCAAGAGTATGGGGTACCACTCGGAAATGGGATGAGTTACCAGGAACGAAAACTGAAGAGAAAGATACTATACGAGGTGTTCCTGGTCGTCCGCTCACGTTCGAACAGGTAAGCTGACCATAAATTTAGCACTTAGTCATGGCTAAGAATCTAGAGAGGAGAAGCTTTAGGTGAAGAACAACATTTATCAAAAGCACGTTCTGTTGGTGAATACATGTATGAAAAAGAAAAAGAACGACTTTCTTCTCTTCAATCCACCATCAATCAACCGCCACCACTACCACCTCTTCCATTATCAACAATCGAACTTGAAGAAATCACCAATTCGCAACGTCCTACTTCCGTCGAAATACCACCTTTATCCCCACGTACAGCATCAGCGGCATTGAGAGGTTATATACCATATGGTGATGATCTAAACAGACAAGAACGATATCGTTCTTATCTCATTTCTCAAACTTATAACACGACTCAACCTGATCCTATTCTACGTAGTGGTTCAGTGGACGAAATCAATAAAGAACTTGAAGATTTCGCTTCTTCCGCTAGGATCTTCAAACCGTTATCACATGCAATGTCATCAAGGTTCACTTCAGGTTCGACATCTTTAGCTGCGAACGATATGAAAGAGGTTAAACCTGGTTTACATATGTATGACGCTACCAAAGTTAAGCTCGACTTGGATTCTCAACAACCTTTATATGAAGAAGTATCGGAGAATAAAGTACTTACACCTCGAGAACAAGCAGCTCAAAATGGGATGTATGGAACATTGACTAGGGTAGTGAAGGATTTTTATCCAGTTAAACTTCTTTGCAAAAGATTTGGAGTACCTGATCCTCATCCAGAGGGAGAACCGAAGAATATCGTCCTTGATAATGAGAGGAGTGAGGATTTACCGAAGAATGATGCGAATTGGGAAAAAGCTTTCGTACATCAATCCATCCCGAGTCAATTTGGTAAACCCGACTCTACGACTGGTGTTAAAGATGAAAAGAATGAGGAGGGAGAAGAAAGGGTACCGAGAAATTTGGGAGAAGTAGGAATGGCAGAAGATGTGAATCAAGGTAGAGATACTTTGAATTATACTAAACCGACTATCGATATTTTCAAAGCTATCTTCGCATCTGATGATGAAAGTGAAGATGAGGAGGATGATCGACAAGGTGTCAGTCATCCTACTAATCTCGAGCTTAAAGTTGGTAAAGAGATGAAGGTGAAAGAAGACAAGTTTGAAGACCCTTTCCCTATCAAAGAGAAAACGGTGGATATCAATAACTTCAAACCGGTTTTCAATAAGAAAGATAAGAATATTTTCGGTGGAGGAAAAGAGGGAAACGGTAATTCTGAAAAGAAAGTGGGTGATCAGGATGAAGGAGAAGATAGGATAGATGGGTTAGATAAAGAAAAGAAGAAAGAAGAAAAAGAAAAGAAAAAGAAAAAACGTAAAGGCGTTTTATCATTTGATGTTGGGGAAGAAGAATTAGGATTCAAAAAGAAGAAATTGGCAAGGGAGAAATCTTCTTTGAGTTCTACTTTCCAAAACACTGAACGTCAAGATGAAGTCATGATGATCAAAAGGGAGTCTGAGATGGAGGTTGAGAATGGTAATGATCCCCTAACAAAGAGATCTAATGGGCAAGATGGACGAGATGAGATAGATGGGAGAAAAGGTATAGATGATGTAAAGGGTTTGATGATACGGGATAATGAAGATGAAGGAGAATGGGTAGAAAAACCTAATGTCGTACCACGTTCAATCGGCAGGAAAGGGGCGGCGGACTTCATGTAGCAAGTACATAGCTTTCTTCTTAGATAACACATTTTATAGCATCACTTTGACAATATACAGACATATCTTGCATCATCTTGACATTATTCATTCCTGATTTCCCCTCAATATCTTTCATCTTACTCTCTTTACAATCTTTCATATATCCACTACTGAGTACTCGTACTCGTACTCTTCCCCTACTCTTACTCGTACTCTTACTGTACTGATAAAAGAGTTCCAATCATGTACAATAAGTACACTTCACATCCATTGCATAGAGAAGAAATCTATCAGATCAAGTTAATGAGAAGATTAATCATGAAAAAATCACATTAGTATGAAAAGGTTGAACAAAGAAAAATGATAAAGTTTTCTAAAAAAGATACATATACATTTTCTCACTTAGTCACTTTAAAATCTCACAACCCTT